AAATAAATTTTATTTTAATAGAATTCAAAATTGTATAAAAAGCAAAGAAAGAAATTATGATATATAAATAAATCATAAATGATGAATTCATTAGCTGATTAAAATTTAGAGGGCCAAACAATGATGTGCCAAATACATGATAACAAAATAATTGCTGTAAACACTGACTCTTCAATAACTGGAGTTGTTACACACTTATGCTATAAATGTTTGGTAGATAAAACAAATAATAATAAAATATTAACAATTGTACAAGCAAAAGAACAAATAGCATCATATAAAAAGTAAAAGTAGAAAAAGAAGAAGAATGAAATTGAAATTATTCTAACATAATTATAAAACCTGTTTTAAAACATATAGTAGTTCAAATGTAAGGTAGATACTGTTTTGGAAAAAATCTCAAACGAATTATCCAAATAAACTAAGCTTAAATAACAAGAATTATTGATATCAGAAAATTGTTTAAACCAGCATAATTTTTGGGAGGATGTTCAATTATTATCGGAATTTGTTTCGAAATAAGAAGAGTAAATTGAAATTCAATATATGAATGAAATGTAAATCTAGTTTTAGTAAATTTCAGTTGATATAGACTACCTGTAAACTATTCAAGCTTTTGAAAATGCTATAAAGATAATAACTAAGTACAATATAGAAAATTAAATTCAATTAGAGGGCCCATAAAATGAAAATAATATAGTAAATTTTATATATATTTAGAAAACTATTAGTTTAAGTACACTTTGTTAAGATCATAACAAGGAAGTAATTTTGATTGACATAGATTCAGAGAATATATAACCAGAAAAAGGGTTAGCTTGCGCTCAATGTGTGAGAAATCGTACCTCATAAAAATATCAAACAATTGAAGAAATAAATGATTTATGGAATAAAAAAAGGCAAAAGGTACAATAAGATACTATTGCTAATCAATAAAAGTCGAAGAAGTAAATTAAATAAAAGAAGTTAAATGAATAAATTGCCTCAATCAGTAGACATTACTATTAGTAATTAAATTTAATTACTCAAGCAAATTTTTTCTAGCCTAATACATAAACAGGTGAGACTAGTAAGTTTAAATAAACTTCTATACAATAATTAAGTTATGAAGAATTGCTTTCAAATATTAATGATTTGGCTCAATAAGACAAAATAACTGTGAATTTAGATGAGCATATGATTACTAAGGATATAGAAACTAAATTAGAAAAAATAAAACAAGATTTCTAATTAGACATTTAAAAGTCCATTAATTATTTAAATGATTAATCATGTATTAAAATTTTAATTTTTAGCTGATAGCCAATTATTAGAAATTAAAGAGCAAATACAAAAAATTTAAGCGAGGTCAATTTTACAATAAGAAGAATAGATAAGAATACAGGAGTTGGATGAATTGATAATTTCCTCAAAATAATTATATTGTTAGATGGAATTGTTAAATTAGACTAAAAATTAATTTTAAGAACATATGAAAAAACTTAACACTATTAAAAAAAAAATAGCAGTGTTTTCAAATCATTTGGATGTTACCAACATAAATTAAGCACTCGATGAATATGTTTATAAATTTGAAAAGAATTTTCAAAATTTGAAGAAATATTGTGGAATCGATGAATTGATTGAATCTTTTCAATCAGAGATCAAATAATTAGAAAATTCAAATAAAAGCTAAATAGAAACTAAGGATGCATTAATTAAGAATTTCGAATAAAAATTATTTTT